AAATAATGCTGGTCCTAGCGGATCTCCCTGCTGAACGCCGACAGCAGAATCAATAATATGGTTTTCATAAAATAAATTACTCTTTTCACTGTAACATTGCCAAACATAGTGATATATTTCTGGTGTATGGCTAGCCACTTCGTTCAGCAGAGTCGTTCTATCAATGGAGTTAAAAGCATTCCTTAGGTCAACCTTCAGAAGTACATCCAAATCACTAGTATTTAAAGATTTGGATAAATTAGTTTTTGTGGATCTATTATCTTCGACCGGTAAGTAATTGCTTGGTTTCGTTAATGCCAGTGGTTGTTTTGTTTACGTATTTCGTTTTCTTATCAATTCGCTTTTTTACAGTGCATGGCTAGAGGTTGAAATCAGAACACATTCCTGGTCGTATTATTTGTGATTGCTGTCTGTCTGGGAAACTTTGTGCTGGATTTGTTGTCCCTCGTGGTAAGATCCTTTGCTATTTTCACTGGTTTCCTACTAAAATTGTAAAAGACTTGCATTGAGAATGTATTTAGAAATTCACATAAAGGTAGGTTGAGAATTTATTGTCTCGTGTTTCTAAATATGGTCTTTCAAATATCACAGGTGGATGCTGAAGGCATAGGTGGCTGGCAAGCTGGTCTGAGCTGCTGCTCTATTAAATATTGTTTTTTACCTCCAGTTGGTAAGTTTTTCACATCTTATAATTGTAGGTGGATTCAAATCCCTGCCTTTGTTAGTTCTACAATTTAGTGTTTGTTGGCAGGAGGTCTCCTACATACCCCCCCAACAGTGTGGCTGTACTGTATGTTCCTAACAGACAAGGCGTTATTATTATTTAAAACCAACTCATTATTATTACTATATTTTAAATATATTGTATCCGAGCTAGTCCAGGGATTGTAACTTTAAATTGGAGAGATAAATACATCTTAACTGCAAATAAATCTTTTATTAAATCTCCCCATCATTAACTACACCATCCTATATAAAAACGTTACATATATATGGGACATACAAGACCTTTACTTTACTGAACTGCCGAGCGTAGACTTCATATTTCTTCGAAATAATATTTAAAATAGTAGAATGCCACTATCCAACATAGATATGTTCTTCTTCTTTGCGTGTTGATGACAAATTATAACTTTCCGACCCAGAACTTGGCCACTTAGAGTGCTCAATTCGTGGCCTCCGTCAAATCCTGCTGGTCTATATTTACTATGGTAGAGGAATGGGCAGGTCCGTCGGGGAAGTACCAGTTGAATTGGAAGTTATACTTGTGTGTTTCGTCTGATGAGTGAGGTAGCCGGGACCTCGTTATTAATACGATATGGCGGCAACGCATCTGGAAACCTGCAGGCGTTGCGAACGTCCACGGGTGGAACTTAATTAAGATGGTTTACCGCTAGCTCGCTTGCCATACTGCCATGGAAGAAATACATACTGCTATGATGATGAAAAAAATCGCTAAAGACGATATTAAACTTGAACGCTCTGAGCTTCTTTGGAATCCGTCGTCCTTGACACGACGCCATTGTCACCAGACGTCGCTTAAACGCTTTCCACAGCGCTTTTCAAGTGCTCACAGAGCAGCCATTAAAATCGTGGAGTCAGTTTGAGAGTTACTGGCAGCCCAAATGCCGCTGGCAGTCCAAAGACCAAAATCGAAGGGCAATCACTTTTGGGACTAAACTATATCGGAAAAAATGTGTGACGTCATAAAATATAGTACTTGAGACCTTTATTGAAGCCTTCTCGAATTGCCGGCCACAGAATGTCAAACTGTTTTCGATTACTAACAGTATGATGGCTAGTGAGACTTTGTGCCAGTTGTGTGAACCAGGCTTGAGGCTGTTTCCACATCTTTAATTAATATAAACTTATAAAAAATGTAAAAACCCATGAATAATAACTAATCTAATATTCTTTAATGTAGGAGAGGACCGGAATTTTCTTATTCAAGACAATCATAGATTTCACTAAGACTGCATCTGGATTCCTATACAAATTTATTTATAACATAAAACTTATAATACTACTTATAATAATTTTATATGAACACGTTTCCACATATAAGGAAATGTACATACTTCAATATTGAAATTATATGTTTGCGGTGAAAACTTAAGCCTGGTACTTCTGCGTCGTCACTAAACCATTATTTGTTCTGTTCGAGCTGGATCCGAATAATTGCAGTCTAAAGTCCCATCTAGATTCGCCAGTACTCATCGTTTTCCCTCGTCGACCCATTTAGTTAAATCCATCGCTAATCTTTAATATTATATTAGCACAAAGAGTTTAGCGGGTATTATTGCCTGTTGGAAATCGGCCGGCGCATGTGGCCTAGTTTCACTTAACGCGGGAAATAATATTTTAAGGACACATTTTTTATACACAACGCTCCCTAGTTCCACACTAAGCAACGCTTATACTATGGGTACTAGATAATTGATAAACACATTTAAACATACTTTTCTGTTGTAAATAAATACGTGTTATACATATATAAACACCCAGACACTAGAAAAACACTATGTTCATCACACAATATTATTCCAGTAGTGGGGATCGAACCCACACCCTCTGGCGCAGGAGGAAGGTACACTACACTACGCCGTTCGCCGTTCGTCGTCATATCTACTATGACTCGGTGGCGTAGTTGCTTAGCTATTGGCTTCGGCGTGCGGGGTCGTGGGTTCGATTCCCACACGGGACAAGTATTTGTGTGACCCATAGCTAAACCGGATCCGGGAGTTTGTTTCCCAAGAAGGGTTGACATTAGGCAGGCGGCTGGTCGTAAAAAACACGACCAAAACCGCTTACAACATGATTCACATATTGTGACATCTTCACCTAGCTAGGATAAGGGCAGGAGGATGATGAAGAATTTTATTAAATAGCTTATAGATGCGTAGGAGTCTTACCTGATAGTAATTTTGAAAAGGTTGTCAACGCATTTGTAACCCTCGGGTGTAGCTGAAGTCCATGGGCGCCGGTATTCACTTAACATCAGGTGAACCGTCTGCTCGTTTGACAACTTTTCGCATAAAAAAAAATAAAAAAGAAAAAAAAACCTGATAGTAAGATCATCAGCCTGTTCGTTCATAAGATTGGAGGCGTTGTAAAAGCTTTTATTTGTGACTAGCTGATACCCGTGTCTTCGTCTACGCTGCTTATTATGTTCAAACAAACGTCACTGAATATTTAGTTCGTAAAAAGCAGATGTTTCTAAAAATTAAGCGTCTAAGAAACCAGACTAAGACGAGTTATTTGAAACTTTAACTGGATAGAAAGTATTTTTTCTTAATGCGCAAAGAACAGCAGAACTCTATCATTTCTTTCATAAAGAAGTAGATTGTACTCTTTTTCCGAACCAACTAAGTCCTATGGATCCGAAAATTATAAGCATTGTGCATACGAAGGTTGATAAGATGGTAGGGCCACGCAGCAGCCTCGGTTGTTGGACGAAAGGGCAGGCTCGTCCGGGTAAGTACCACGACCTCACAGAAGACCAGCGGAAATTGGAAGTATATTACTTTCGCGTTTCGTCTGGTGCCCGAGGTGGCCGGAGCCCAATTTTCAAAAGGCTGTCAACGCTTCTGCAACTCTCGGGTGTAGCAGATGTCCATGGGCGGCGGTGTTCACTTAACATCAGGTGAACCGTCTGCCCGCTTGGCAACTTTTGACATAAAAATAAATAAATAATAATAAGTGTGTGCTTTTCTGCGCTGGAAGGGGAAATTATATGATATATTCAACAAGAAATACAGATGGCCTTTGAACTTCACTCTAAAACGGTAAAAGTCAAATGCGTTTATTGATGGAGTGTTAAAACGTGATTAATTCGTTATTTCATTCCTTATGTATTTTATGTGATCGAAGTTAATAGGGATACGTGTCCGTATTTAAGAAAAATATCTTTATGTCATACAAGCACATCCTGAATGGGAATCGAACCTGCAACGCAAAAAAAAGGAGTGATTATAACACGGTTCAGTCGATAACCGCCGTTTAACAACTCTTTTATTTTCTGTGGTACTCTTTATTATGAAACTAAGTAATTCTGTATTGTAAATATTGATTTGATTTACTGCAATGCCGACTACCGAACGTAAAAATAAATTGAACATAAAAATCATTAACAGATTTTTTTATGAATGAAAAACACACACCGGTGCTTTTAAACAGGTGCTATATTTTTAATTAATGTTTGTAATTGGTAGCTTTGAGGTTAAAGTTAATGAATGCATACTTTTTCTCTAACAGACTTTCCTATACCGTAGTGATAAGGCTTACTTTTGCGTACCAGAGTTTTTACCTCGTTATGCGGTATGTAGTTGTTGCGTTTAATTAAAAACTAGTAATGCCATCATAGCTGTGGGCCCTTGAGACATTACAAACACTAAAAAGTAAAGTCAAACTTTATAGTCACGAAATTCAAATTCGGTTGCCAGAAGAAATAAAATTGTTAATTGAAACTTTATACGGGATTAACTTTAATCCAAATCCTACGCAACTGTGAAGCGAAACATAAAGCGTAAAGACACCTCCACCACAAACAGATATTATAATGTCTAAAGCATACTTTGACTAGGCTTTTATAATCTGTTACAACTCTCAGAGATAATTTTTGTTTTAAATTCAGTGTTTGGTGTTGTTCCATCAATGTTTGTTTCTTTACCAGCTTTCCTAACCATTATGACCTGAATATATATATATTTATATAGATCTTTTCGCCCCCCGATTTTGTACATCTAAAGTTCTTCGTGTACGCAGCAATGATATTGTAAGAAGTAAGAGGACACTAACGCACCGAAGCTGAGGCACTCAAAGCACGCTAATTGGTGTAATTACATTGCAACTGTACAGACTGCCATCTCTTTCCGTATCATACATTCTATATCATCTGTCTCATTCACTTATATACGTCACATAATGTAGAGCGGAACAATTTCCAAACGCCGCGCGGTGTGTACATGCGTCGTCTTTACCGAAACATCATTGGTCCGCAGGGCAACGCTTCTGACCTTCCAAGACCTCCTGCCCGAGGACCCAAAGCTCTACGACAAGATGCGGCCACCGAAGAAGAACGATCAGCCCACCATCGTCAACTTCCACGTCACCGTAATGGGTCTGGACTCAATCGACGAAAACTCAATGGTGAGACCCGCCTGCCACAATTTCTAGGGTTCCGCACCCGAAGGGTGAAACGGGACCCTATTGATGAGAATTCGCTGTCTGTCTGTCTGTAAAACTATCTCTATTATAGCTTTCAAATTTTTTTTCGTAGTACCTACCCGACGCAGAATTATAATACCTCGCAACCACACTTTCTCGTACATGTATGGTTCACTCCTAAAATTACACTTTTATTTGATGTGTCTGCCATGATTTGAAGTCAGGATGCTCGAATGCAGTGACTACAATCATTAAAGTTTTCACCAATTGTCTACTAATCAATGTTAATATAAAAAAATTATGTGTGTAACAAGATATACTTATTTAACGTGACAAAAGAGATATAACTCTAAATATCCCGTGTGCCGGTACTCTTTGTTTGTGTATAAAACATTGATTGCTATTGATAACAGTTTAATTAAATAACTTAGAATTGTAGGTAAATGTCAAAAAGTTGTTACTGGCCATGGTAATACGATAAAGTTGGTCGAAGTTGGTAGCTTTGCAACCAACTTAATCGTGTCGATGTCGGTGCGAACGTATAGTAAAAATTTTACTCTCATAATTATTTGCAAACGCGCCAAAAGAAGTGTAACTTCAAAAAATGTAAATCTTTTTGCCTTACGATTTAAGAAGAATCTCTTTGTCTTAGTTGGCCTATGCACTAAATAACAATGTAGGCTATATATCTTTATCGCTGCGGGATTCGAACCTGCATTTTCCAGTTTCGCGCCCAGACGCTTTACCAATTAAGCGGCCGATGACCTTACGGCGTGAAATCTATAAAAAAATATTAATCGAATAAAAATGGTCGCTAAATTTTAAGAGCAAAGGCGACAACTTTCGTTACAAACGTTCGTCATTAAATGTTTTCTGTAAGAAATTTCAAGATTGAAATAATTCACCTAAGTTATCTTATTTATTACTTAGTTACTGTTCCGCCATATTTTATGGTTACAGACGAAGGCTACTTTAACAACTCTCAAAAGCTAGAAAATACTTCTCAATAACATTAAAAAGCAATTTCAAACCTTTGCTCTAACTCGTTGTGGATGGATCTTTACCAATATAACAATTTAAAAACCGGCCAATTGCGAGTCGGACTCGCGAATGAAGTGTTCCGTGCCATATCAATAAAAACGGCAAAAAAAACCATGTCTGTTGTAACGGAGCCCCACTTAAATATTTTTTATTCTGTTTTTAGTAGGTATTTGTTGTTATAGCGGCAATAGAAATATATCATAAATGTAAAAATTTCAACTGTCTAACTATCACGGTTCTTGAGATACAGCCTGGTGGCAGACGGGCAGACAGACAGACAGACAGAGAGACAGCGGAGTCTTAATAATATCCCGTTTTAACCTCTGGGTACGGAACCCTAAAAAAATTAGGTGTTTAAATTAGGAATTGTCAATTCAACGGGAAAAATACATGGTGCCACCTAATTTAACCTCAAAGTGTTATCATAGATTTTGTTAGGTTACACGTTTGTTAAGTTTCCAAATGACAAGTACAAAGGTAACATTTGTAAAACGATAAATAGAAACTAATTAACATACTACGGGGATACGAATCCTTGAATTAAGATCATACACCGACATCAAACTTGCCATTTTCTTTTAATATTTTGTTTTATTATCATAAATTTTATTCACTCGCCCATCTATTTCTCGTATGGAAGATAATTTAAGTGTGTTTTAGTAATAAGTGTGAAAAATACATAATAAACACTTGTGTCAATAAATGTTAAATCAAATAAGAATCTATAATTAGACACTAGAATCATATGACGAGGTGGCCGAGTGGTTAAGGCGTTGGACTGCTAATCCAATGTGCTCTGCACGCGTGGGTTCGAATCCCATCCTCGTCGACCACTTTTTTATCGTTTTTCACATGTTAAAAGTTAAGTGTTTATGAATTCAAAAGCTGACGGAATACAATATAGTGTTTTAAATACTTTTAGACATTAAAATCAACGGTTATCATGTATTTTCTAAATTAAATTTCAAACAAGTGTTTATAGTATTCGTTCTTTGTAATTGTAGAAAATGTAGAAGCTCGCTTACATCTTATTTTCACCCGACTTCAAAAAAGGAGGAGGTTTTGAATTTGGTTGTATATCTTTTTTATGTTTGTCACCTCAGAAGTCAGTCATTTATGAAGCGATTTTAAAAATTATTATTTTGCTTTGGGTTTGTTTAAAATCCATATGGTCCCATATTAATCATTGGACCTTGAATCCCAGAGATACATCAGAGAACTCTTCAAAATGAAATAGAAAATGCACATAAAAATGTAAATGTGTGGTGACTAACATTTTTGAAATCAGTTTTCTTTTTGTCAATAAAATGTTGTACTTGCAAATATATCATTTTATATATTTTCACTACTAGAGTTTTATTTTTAATGTGTTTTCTTGCCTGTATGCCCAATTTCGATGAAACTTGAAATATTCCCCTAGGTTGGGCTATGAAATAAGTAAGCAATAATAATGAAATACTAATAAATCGTTTTTAGTTTAAAGTTAAACTAACATTACATTAACATTTTCTCGTGTCAAAGTACTCAATGGGTAAAAAAATTAGTGATTTCCAATTTTGTGCTGATTGAAAAGGTGAAATAGGATGAGGATAATTAACATACTCAATTAAAATTTTACTTAGCATTAATTTTAAATGGTTTGGCATACTTCACACACTTACATACTTTTTTTTACTATTTATATACATACACAATTAGTGTTTTATTTCTATGTATTTCAAAAGAATGAGATTTCCTCTGGACTTTTTGCTTCGCCAAAGAGCACGCAGAAATCGGCTCTTGAATTTTTCGTTGTTACTGGCACCGGGATTTGAAGTCAAATCGCTCCATTGCCACTGAACTATCACGGCTCCAGTATGTAGCAGTTGGTAAAACCAAAATACGAACGCGATAAAAGCTGTAAAACGTAAGTTTTATTCTCACATTAGATTATTGCGTTAAAACATTTTTTTCTTGAAATTTTCTATTTTCTGGCTATATGAGTAGATGATGAATTGATGAAGATATTGAAACAATTTTTTTTAAATACCTTTGTTCACATAGACGCTTGCGCGTCCTTATAAAACGTCTAAATTTAAATTGAGCTGACAGACTGCTATTGTAAAATGAAAGTATGTCTTGAAATCTCAACTGCCATTGAAACTAATTTCTTTTTAGGGGTCCATATTTTGTAGTGAGGTCGTGGTACTTCCCCGGACGGACCTGTCCATTCCTGCAACAGTGCGAAGGCTGTTGCGTGGCCTACCACAGCTAAAAACACTGACTTCGTTTAAACGAAATCCAATGTACAATAGTTTATAAACCTATTGTTAGTTTAAATAGGTTATATATTTTATGTTTTGGTTCTCACCTTGTCTATTCTGTTTTTGCTGTTAAAAAATATCTGTACCTTTTGCTGTACACAGTCCGGCTGTACATTGTACCCGTAATATTCATGTTTATAAAACCACTCGCGTCGCAGGATTACTTCCTAAAGCCTCGGATTTTTCATATAACATAAATAATATAATCATGTAAGATATTTTTCATAAAAATTAATAAAAATTTTTATTTATCTAATATTTACATAATTTAATTTAAATAACACTCTCCCTTTGACAGACTTACGCCGCTGACATCTTCTTCGCCCAAACCTGGAAGGACTTCCGTCTGAGGCTTCCAGAGAACATGACATCCGAATACAGGTATGCAATGAAAGCATTACGAATAAGTATAAAAAGTTAATTAAAAAAAGAAATGTTATAAATTAAATTAGAAAAAGAAAGTTTAAATGTTATATGTTATGTTTAAATGTTAGTTTAAAAGAAAGTTTAGATGTTAATGATATTAAATTTTTCTTTGGGTAATGTTTTAACTTCGTCTAATTTTTAAGTTTTAGTTTAATCTATATGTTCTAGTGTAATCTTTGTTAACTATTCCTTATGTGAGAAGGTGGCAAGCAAGCTGGCGTTTCAAATGATGTTAAGTGATAACCGCCGCCCGAGCACATTTTTAACCCCCCTAGGTTGCAGATGCGTTGCCACCTTTTAATAAAGTTGGCCCCGATTACCTCACTCACCAGACGAAACGCAAAAGTCCACTTCCACTTCACGCTGGTCTTCTGTGAGGTCGTGGCAGTTACCCGGACGGACCTGTCCATTCGTGCAAAAGCGATGACTTTTGCGTGCCACTACCACAATGTTATCTGTGGTAGGGGCTTTTCTACTAATCCCAATCTAGGCCAATTCTACCTGTATTGAAATGAAAAAGACGCAATTGAAACAGCAAGTACTTCTTGATATAGTAAAATTAATTGCAAGTAAACATTTAACAACGATTTGTGCAAGTGTGCAGGAATTGGATGGATGCACGTGGCTCAGGAATGTGTGGCTCAGCAGTGGACTCAAAAAGGCTGAAATGATAAAGATGATGAAACATTTTGTCCACCGGAATCAAACCATTTTTATCCAATCAATTGTCTTAACCAACTTTTTTGTTTTTCACCCTATAAAAACATAATATATTTAGCATCTATCTACTTTTTACTATGACAAGGGACTGGTAGGGAATGCCATTAGGCATTAAGTTCGTCCATTATAGCCCTTAGCTTAAGGTGTAGCAATGAAACTTAAATAAATAAATAAAATAAAATAAACCTCACACCAATATATAGATTCCATTAATATTAAAAATTTACATAGCTTTAATAGTTAAGGAATCTACGCCGTGAGAATGAACAGTTTTAATTCGCAAAGGAAGTCATGAAAAATGACACCATTGCTCCCAACAGGCTCCTGGATCTGGACTGGTTGAAGCACATGTGGCGGCCGGACTCGTTCTTCAAGAACGCCAAGTCCGTCACCTTCCAAACGATGACCATCCCCAACCACTACGTGTGGCTGTACAAAGACAAGACCATCCTGTACATGGTGAAGCTGACCCTCAAACTGTCCTGCGCCATGAACTTCCTCATCTACCCCCACGACACGCAAGAGTGCAAGCTGCAGATGGAGAGCCGTGAGTAATATCTATCCTTTTTTTTGGTATCGGGGGGGAAATCTTCAAAAGATACCCTGTTACTTTACATAACAGGGTTATGTGGGGTTCTTACCCACTAAAACCCCTCGGCGGCCGCCTTCTATACATTTGGAGGGACTCGGGGATCTCCCATGGAACGCACCGGTGTCCCTCGGTACTACGCCTGAGCACGCCTCGGAGAGGGATAAACCTTCTCCGATCCCCTCACCCTCTTGCAGCAGCACGAAACCACTTCGTGCTGCTGCCCATCCATGTCCCCTTTTAGTCGCCTTTTACGACAGGCAGGGGATACTTTAGCCCTATTCTATGAGCCCGGGACTACAGGGCTGGAGTAATATCTATCCTAGTCATGAAACAATTGTAATTATCAGTAGTTTTAATTAGAAATTTTTAGTATTACAACTTGTTTTTACCGTGAACTTTCGACGTCTGCGATGGTCATTTTGCCATGAGGCACCGACATGCTGATCAAAGTTATATCAAGAGTATTGGGTCGGGGTTCTCAATCTCGTTACATAATGTTTCATTTAACCTTGCATAACGTTTTTGTTTGAACAAGTTTAAATTTATGATGAAAATATTACCATCTTCATCAGCGTACGAGTGTGTAGAATAGTTTTTATATTTTATTTGCATATGCTTTATTGCTAACCTCAAATTATAAGGTAACAAAGGGAGGAATTAATGGAAAATCTCTACCATTCAACCCAGGATGTAGTGAGAGCTTGTTGTAGATGCAGCAAGGGATGTAAAAGTTACAATAGTTGGTGACCATCAGCACGAACTCGTATTGATGTAATGTGCACGGAGTAAAACTTCAGAGAGTCTTCGGAGAGTTTTGGTCGGGGGGCTTTTAAGGGTGTTATACCTAAACGTGATCTTGTCCTATCTAAAGAAGCGGCTAAGGTTCCTGTAAGTCTTACAGGGCGTCGCATAGTGACTAAGCTCTTTAATAAAAATGTGTGTATTTATGTAAGACCGTAAGAAGTTGAACTTCTTTGGCGTTATTAACAATATATCGACAGACGGAAATTATTATATATTTTTTCATCACAATAATTAGATTAGGCATATATGTCACATTTGCGCGACTTCGTCACACATTAAATACACTCATCTGTGTTTCCAAACACGACGAAAGTAGTATAACCTCAAAAATATGTATTGACACAGACGCCACACATATGATTGATTGAAACCTATTTTAAGGACTTTTATCCCATTATGTTCACGGGTTTGCTATTTCCGTGAATGTCGTAAAAATTCAAAGAATTTTAGTTTTAAATAAACGAATAATACTCTCTTGTTTTCATGCGATTAATATTCACGGTTAAATGAAACTGTTTTACGGGTTTTATCACGTTTCATTTTGATTTGAAATTCTCGACGTTTCTAACCCTTTACATCCTGCCCGTCCCGTGACCATCAACGCAATTTGCGTTGATGATGTAATTTAAACTAAAAGACAATCTTTATGATTAATATTTAAAATAAAACTATGTAAAAGTATATGATTTCCCACTGAATAGTTATGCTTAATGGAAAAGAACCAGCTCTCTTGTCACCAGCCGCGGCGTAATTTAAATAAACTTGTAAAAGTATATTGACCACTGAGTAATGGACTCGTTGTTTTTAACTTCGTGTGATGACTCGTTGTTTCTTACATTATATCACTCAAGTGCTCAATTGAGGTGTACGTGCCTTTACGTAGCCGACTACAACACAGAAAGGATGACTCCGTGGCGCAGTTATAAATGTATTGGCTTCGGCGTCGGGGGTCGTGGGTTCGATTCCCACACGGGACAACTATTTGTACGACCCTCAGATAGTTGTTTCGCATCTGGGTGTTTCTCCCACGTGAATTTTTTGTTTGTAAAACGTCCTTACAACACAGGACAATGTTATCCTAAAGTAGGAGCAATGTTTTTTTTTTTTTTTAAGTGGAGTACCGTACTAATTACAACACTAATCATACATTTCTTTTCCTACGCAACAACGTCACCACGATTAAATCCTGATAACCTCAACCTTGCGATCACCTCACATTACTACGTTACAACATGTTAAAATGTAAAATGATACAGTCCATTCCCGAGTGGCGGCCGAGAACCGCCCCACGAATCGACCGGAGCGTAAGGATAAAAACATCCCCTTCGAGCACCCTTGAAGCCTCGTTATTCATTCAGTGTCGGCAGAGTGGCGGCCACTCGAGTCGAGTCGACATCTGCACTCGACTGCGCGTCTAATTATAGACGGGCTGTTTGACATTGTGCCGAGCGGAGCGCGTGGAGGTGGAGTTTTGCCGAAGATTAGGGCCGAGAGGGATCTCCGCTAATTGGGAGGAACAACCACTGGAGGAAACCTGTACTGATTTCAAGCTTCAGCTACAAGAACAATGCTATATTTCTACTCTGGTAGGGCCACGCAACAGTCTTCGCTGTTGCACGAATGGACAGGTACGTCCGGGCAAGTACCACGACCTCACAGAAGACACGCGTCAAGTCGTAGTGTTATACTTCTGCGTCTGGTAAGTGAGGTACGCATTTGAAGCATTGACATTTGTTGCAAATGTCAATGGGCGGTGATTACTTAACCTCAGGTGAACCGCCAGAGTTCTCTTGCCATCTTCGCACATATAAGAAGCGGCGGAGAAAGCTACTGCCTCACGGAAAATCGTCATTTCGTCCAGATCGCGTCTTAAAGGCTAGCGACGTACTTTGGACTTCTCAGGTGTTGCGTGTGGTGCTTATTTCCTTACATAATCGGATGCCTTTACAACCCACATACCTTTAACAAGTACATTTGTCTTACCTTTCACCGGTAATGTGACCAATGTATCTTTGACTAGTAATAAGAACGTTATGACGAATACATCTTAAACGTGTGTCCGTTGTAACGTCTCCGCCTCGCCTGAGCACTTAACCGACTTTAACAAATGAGGTATCGTTTGACGCCTCTTCATATCTGCGCCCTAGATTTTATGACGGCCCAAATCCAATATGGCGTCAAAGAAATAAGAAAAAATTACATTTTTTTTTCTAGCCGCATTTTAATCTCGCAAGTTCTAGGATGAATATTAAATATTGCGTTGGAATTTTTAACTAGCGTTAAGCAAAGCTACTCTCTGGTAGTAATTCTGGTAGTAAAATGTTATAGAAACGGATTATGTTTTAACTTAACAAAATCAAATAGTCTAAAAAATTATCCCCAGGTTTTTTCTTTTTATTGCTCGCGCGTTTTTTAAGTAGTGATGGGAAACTTCTAAAATCTTAACTACATTTGAGGATGTATTGATGATGAGGATGAGGAAGTGTCTAGAGATTGATGAAGGAAAAATAAATTACAAATAATGTTATGTGTACATTATTTAGGAGATATTTTTACACTTTGTCATTCCGATTGGCTTAGTGGGTTGAACTTCTTATTGCGGTAGGGTGTGGGTTTGATCCCCCACTACTGTGAAAATATTTTGTGATAAACATAATGTTTATTTACAAAAGAAGTATGTTTATCAGTTATGTACTGCCATGATGTTGCAAAGTACAAGCGTTGCCTCAAACTAGAAAGAAAACATTCCATGAAATTAGGAAATAAATGAATTTAGAAATATATAATAGAGTAATAAAACTATGCTAATGATGCAAAAGAACTATTTGTGAATTAAAAGACGAAATCCTTATCTTCTCCTATCATTCTGAAATACGTACGAGAGATCTTTTGTATATTTTTGTGTAAATATATCGTATAAAAAGTCTGCACGTGCGTCGTTCCTAATTATTTCAATGAAATTGATATTTTGTGAAAATCTGGAAAGAAATCAGGTCAAGTTCTGAGAAGTGCGTTACAGGCTTCTTTATGAAGCCATCCCATTGAGTTCGAGATAATTATACAGGTAGGTATAGTAGGATACATATTAAACTTAAGAATTTGCCCGTATATACTATTACTTGTATAGACAATGTAAACGTCCCGATTTCATATTTATTCGGATATTTCCAAACACGAATCATGTAAACTTTGTCATCTTTTTATTTGAAAGTGACAAGCAACCAGGCAATTCACCTGATAAATGATTTCCCATAGTTGTTTATAAAATTTTTTGGGTTGTAAATGCGTTCTCAATTAACACTGACCCGATTGCTTGATCTAGACAGCGAAATGCAGAAGTATAATACTTTCACACTAGTCATCCACGGTACATTCCGCGACAGGCCTGTCTTTTGCCTTTCTTTTCGTGCAATGGAAAGCTACTGTGGTAATGTAAGTGGTAAGGTTACTCAGATTTTTATTCGATGTGAGTATTATTTATTGTATTACTAGCTATTTAAACTTTACACTGTATATTTGCTTATTGTGGAAAGTTTTATCATAAACTCATGGAAATTAAGGTACATTTTTGAACAACAAGGTATTTTTTCAATCATAAACCGCCACGAAGGAGAAAGTCAAACTTAAAAATTCCAAATAGTCATTAGGATTATTTGAAATTAAGACAAAAAATCTCAAAAAAAACAATTATATTAGCAAAAAAATACTTAAACCGAATCTATTTGATTTTATAAAGTTACATCCGAGTACACCTCCAGATTTCAGCTCCTATAGCAATAAAACTAATATGGGGCCACATAAGACCTAAACAAAATCCAATGCAAGAAGAATTTTCAAAATCGCTTGATTAATTACGTAGTTCGAATGTAACATAAAATAAAAACAAGCGAATTGGCAACATCTCTTTCCGAAGTCGGTAACACCGAGCCCGCACTCCGCGTGCGTGAAATTCTCATCGCTACACAAAGGAGGCTGTGAAGCGATCGTTATACCGATCAGCGGGCACGCCGGTACGGAGTTGGCGATACAGCGTCGCTGGGGGCGGCGAAAGTGGGCCGAGCGGTCGAGGGCCCTCGGCCGCCCTCCCACGGAGTCAGCTAGATTTTATCGGGTATCACGAGGGCGAGCGATCGGTGTCTCAGCGCAGATGTGAGCACGGGCCGTTAATAGTCCGCCACTCGACGCGTCGTTTCGGATAAGGCTCTGCGGGGTTAGCGTCGAGTGGCTTAAGGCGGGCCCCGCGGCTCGAGTGCCCCCCCTTGTTTGGGCCGGCCCGATCACCGACGAGAGCGCTATTATTTTTAGATTCGGCCGCCTTTGAAGGGACGGACGGTCGAGTGACGCCAGGTGTACTTGCATTTGCGCGTGTGTACTTTATTCTGTATGTCCCATTTCTTGTACGACCCTTTACGTTCTCTCTGTGCGCATGGTACTTAGATTAGTTTCACTACTTGCGATTTAAGATTAAGCATTCGAAACGTAGGCGCGTATTTCCGCATTTCCTTAATTAAAATTTTCTTAAGAGAATTAGTTTGACTTAAGTTGCACTAATATGAAGTAAAAAAGCAAGTAGAAGTCATTGTCTACCTAAGTTTAAAATAAGGGAGGGATAATAATTTTTATCCCAATTTTTTCAGGATCAAACGACTACTATCCCACTTTATAGTATATTAATAGATGCATTGGCAGGTATTGAGCACTGATTCCAATAAGAAAGGTTTTAGTAGTAGAAGTTGATACGCCAAACTCTCGCACGGAGATCAACTTTCGGGTGAAATGAAATGTGTACATTTTCATTATTTTTTCTATTTTGATAAAGTTAAACTAGGAACAAGCTTAATAAGAAGGACAGATCAGTTAAAATAGAAACAATGGTATGGTGGTAGTGCCTAAAACTTGTTTCCTACATATTTGCGAATAGGCCATAAATGTTCAAATTGACGACATTTAATTAATGTAAATCGTCTACAACTTGTAAATAAAAACCCTAACCAGAATCCCACCGACCAGGAATCAACTAATTTTCTACTTCAGATTGCTTCAGATGATTTGAGAGGTTTTTCAAAAAAAATTACCTCTAATCTCTGCACTATAATTGTATTGTTCTTAAATAACTATTATATAGAAAAAAAACCTTATAATTTTATAACATAATACACATCTCCTTACATCTTAGTCGCCGGTAACGATCAACTGACCTCAATTAGTAACCTATTTTTAAAGTAATATAAAACGAAAAATTCTTCAAGTACCAGCTAGCCGCCATTTGCAAATTGCACGGAAAACCTCTAATGAACGCAGTTAGTAACCATCGTTTAATATGGCTTTCACGAACCGGTTTTAGATCAGGCTATTCAATCTTTAATATGAAACTGCTTTACACTTTTAATTATTAGTTAATAAACTTAGGTATGATTTATGTTGCTGTCTTTGGCGACAAATTTTACGGCTGTCACGTTACTTTAAATACATAAATTAATATAGATAAAGTTTTTGTCACATTTACCTCCAGTGAATTCCAGAGTCTCGCAGGGCTGCGTGCTATCTCCTACGCTGTTCTATACATATCAATGTCTTATGACATCCTAGCAATATTCGTTGCTATTCGGGTGACATTAATAACGGATTTATCCAATTTCAGTATCTCACACAACTGACGACCTCATCTTCCAATGGGATCCGGAGGTTCCTTTGGTGGTGGACGAGAACATTGAGCTTCCTCAACTGGAGCTGGTGCAGAATCGTACTGCAGACTGCACTCAGGTCTACTCCACGGGTAACGTATCTAGTTTTGAATAGTCCAGATGACTTGTTCTGCTATATTCTATAACGACGGAGATTGTTAGCAGCGTAGACGCTTGGACATGTGTTTTCGTATATTATCTGTATATTTGCTACCTTATTACGAAGTGATTATTTCTTGAGTAGGTACAATCCCGCCTTGTGGTAAGCAATTACAAATTGAAAAAACCCGGCGAAGTGCGAGTTGGACTCGCGCACGAAGGGTTCCGTACCATTATCTATAAAAATAGCAAAAAAAATAATATCTATATGTATGGGATCCCCTCTTAAATATTTTTAATTCTATTTTTTAGTATTTGTTGTTATAGCGGCAACAGAAATACGTCATCTGTGAAAATTTCGACTGTCTAACACGGTTCGTGAGGTACAGCCTGGTGACAGATGGACAGACAGACTTCGCTGTATTTCTAAGTAATAGGGTCCTCTTTACCCTTTGTGTACGGAACCCTAAAAATGCGAAAAGAAGTGACTGAGATAATTAACGGACCACCGTCTCAACTTTTAATATATTCGCAACCCCTCTCGTATTGTCCAATATTTTTATGTGTCAAGGAATTTGTGCGGAGCTTTAATATGTATGTTTGTAATTTTTCTATGCAAACATAATCCTTCACGTTATCATGACAGTAACTGTTACAGCGCCACCTATCACGTAAAGGATGCAACATATGCCCAACCATCTTCCTTTATACTTTTGCTGCCTACCTGCGAATTTGTGTTCTTATTTTCTATGTTTACCGCCTTTTATTATATTATAATCTCCTGTTCTGTTCCATTTCTTTTTACTACAATACACAGTCTCTAAAACAGTCACGAGCTTCTAAATCATTTCAAAACCTACAAATCCATTTCATTAATTCTCTAAAGAATTAACAGTAACCAATAATGAAAATATCAACCATTTCTCCTGCCTTTTGAGAGAAGTTTTATATACCTCTGCGTCAAAAACGGATGCGCAAATAATCGAAGTAAAAACAAAACAGAAACAGACTAATTCACGACGCAAACAACTGCCCGCAGACATCGCTATCGCGTACCAATTTTTAATTAGGAATGTGTTAATCGCGCGAGATTAATTACTTAATTATCGCCTCAATAACGAACGCTGCTTTATCTGTTAATCCCGTGATGAATTTAGCACAAAACATGTCGTCTCACAAAGAAACGGACGTAGCGAGGGACATGCTGCATGGAATTTTTTCCAGTCTTAGCCTAGTTGATAAAAGTTGCGATTGACTTACTGCGTGTTTTGATGATAATCAAATTATAATTTGTTATGTTTTCTCCTTACAAGATAGTGCCTTCATTAAAACTTCTCCAAACTACAGTTAATCGCAACATCTGTAGATTTCGGATGATTCAATTCAATTAACGGTTTCTGGTATTTCCTGTCTCTCTCGTGACCGTTGAATAAACTCCCAAGTGAAGAATATAATATACGAATCTTAATCCGATTCAATGTGTCATTCGCTCAATTCAATGTTATAAGTAGACAACGGATTGTATACTATTGCAAGTTTAGTTACATATTATCATCTTCATCATTTCAGCCTGTTTGAGTCCACTGCTGAACATAGGCCTCCCCCACAGACTGCCACGAAGTACGATCCTGAGTCACCTGCATCCATCGACTTCCCGCACATTTGCACAGGTCGTCACTCCATGGGGGGGGGGGGGGGTCGTCCTATACTGCGATATACATAATGCAAAACCTCGCAACAGTATTTGCTGTTGCACGAATGGGCAGGTCCGTCCGGGTTAGTACCACGACCTCACAGAAGACCGGCGTAAAGTAGATGTGTTACGCTCCAGCGTTTCTTTTGATGAATGAGGTAGCCGGGGCCCAAATTATTAAAAGGTCGCATACCTGCAACCGTGTTGCAAAAGTCCGTGGGCGGTGGTTATCACTTAACATCAGGTGAACCGCCAGCTCGTTTGCCACCTTTTCACATTAAAAAAAACCCGGATCTTGAAGGAGCCCATTTATTAACGGCGGCAGCCAAACTTCCTTGTGGTAAGGCCACGCAGCAGCTTCTGTTGCAAGGATGGGCAGGCGCATCGGGGAAGTGCCACGGCCTCACAGAATATCAGCGTGAAGTGAGAGCACTATACATTCGCATTTCATCTGGTTAGAGAGGTAACTGGGGCACACTTTTTTCACGATTGGCATCACATCTGCAACCCGTCAGGCGTTGGAGATGTCTATGGGCGGTTGTAGTCACTTAACATCGTACATTGTAGTCACATTTTCTCACGAAAAAAAGACTGAATAGATTTCTGCAGAAATGGTGGCGTTGATTGTGCTTATATTGCGATTACTCAGCCCTTTGCAATGCATATTCGCATGTACACATGTACTAGCTGCTGCCCGCGACTACGTCTGCGTAGAATAGGCTGAATACTCATTTATTCAGACAGAAAGACAGACATAAATAAAAATATGTATGTAAATTATAGCCTATGTGTTATTCTGATGTATAAGCTATTAATTATAAATATTATTGTAATGTTTTATTAAAATCCATTTAGTAGTATTTGCGTGAAAGAGTAACAAACATCCATCCATACATACAAACTTTCGCGTTTGTAATATTAGTAAGGATTTAGGCATTTTGATAGATTGCTTGCATAAATCGCTTTAAGCTTATTCCTTAAAGCCGTCCTGTATCACCAATATTTGTACATAAAACGGGCGTCATCCAACTTTTAGTGCAGGCACGCAATTGCCTATAAGCCAGATCATCCGTTTTACCTCCATAAAAGGACAGGCTTTATCGTGTAGCGACTGTGGACATTGTGAAAAAGCGTAATAACGAATTAACTGTGCCACCAATGTAAAGCGTGTTGACAGAAAGTGCGACGGCTAATGCCGTGTTGTTTGCAGATTCTTGGACGGCCCAATTTGATAACCTCAATTAGTTGGAAATGGTGGGGTGATTAGAACTACGTCCTTCTACCTAGATATGGTGTGGTCAAAGCAAAAATGGTACTTTTTAGGTGGCAAACCTGACGACGGTTCACCTAATCTTAAGTGATAACTGCCGCTCATTGCAGATTCGTTGCGAACTTTTAATAAAGTGGGCTCCGGTTACCTCACTATAACACTTCTACTTCACGCCTGTCTTATGTGAGGTAGTGGTACTTACCCAGACGGACCTGTCAATTCGTGCAACAACGAAAACGGTGGCGTGGCCCTACCACAGTTAATTAGTTATTTTTTTTCTAATATTAAAATTTATAACGCAATTTGTCAAAACCAAGAGAAATAAGTCTTTCAACCAGTTTTAACTTGGCCTTTGCTAATATTTTTATCGAAGAGCAACATACTTTTATGAGTTATTATAGTCCCTTTTTAATTACTCCTTATCCCGAACTTATGAATAACTCAGAACCCCCGGCTGTTATACATTTATGAGATGGACTAACTCAAACCAATTAGCTTTAACCACCAAAATCTTAACTGCATTTGAATCCTAAGATTTCATCGTCATCAGGATACTTATAAAACACGTCACTACATCTTGATTCAACGAAAGCAAAACATCGTGTCTTTTTCTTCGATAGAGTATACAAAAATAGCAACCTATTAAGTTCTAAGTGTTACATACGCAGTCATCTAATAAATTGTGCATCTCATAAAACGTACGAATGATTTTTAAAATATTGACAATTAAGTCCAGAAACAACAATAGCCAAAGAATTCATTGATGTCTGAACATAATTTTAACCAATTTGTATTTTAAATTAAGTAGCTATTTTTAGCATTATGAACATTTGCTACAAATTACATTAAATTGCCATTGGACATTGCTATAAATATTATACTTTAGCGTCAATTTAAACACGAGCCGTGGTAGTTCAGTATCCGAACTCTCGCCTTTATTTTAATACTATGCTGGGTGCAAATCCCATGCCACCACCAATGAAATTGTTAATTGAAATTTTAAGTGCTGACTTATCACGTGTTCAGCGGTGATGCTTTCCGCATTGTGAGGACACCTGCTTCAAATATTTTTTTCTTGAAAGTTTTTTTTTAATATATATATGTCAAGTCTGCCAATTAATGCGAAATTATATTAAGTTTTTAGTGTTAATTTTCTTTACTTTATAATGCTTAAAAGTCTTAAGTTAGTGTGCTGTTGGGGACATGTTAGATGTGCCATGCATTGTTTAAAATGTGAACAAAACAAAGCAGATAAAATATCCTGACATTTTCGTCTTTGCGTCAAGGCGCGAATACGAAAGACGTGATTTCGATTCCCGCAGCGGTGGGAAACATTTCGTCCATTTTTTTACAAATTTAAATAAAAGACCCCATATTAAAAACCCCAAAGGTTTTAGGTGTTTAAATTTTATGTGGGTATACTCTTAATTATGTTTAACGTTTCCAGGCAACTTCACGTGCCTGGAAGTGATCTTCAAGTTGAAGCGTCGTCTCGGCTACCACCTGTTCAACACCTACATACCCACCTGTCTAATCGTCATCATGTCTGTGAGTATTCAGAACCAGCATCTGATCTGTTGAACCAATTGTGTTGGGCAATCTTGGTTTATTAAGTGTTTTTATCGCGAACTGTCTAATAATGGTCGACTACCACTAAGTCTGAGTTAAGTGGTGATAAGGCGGCACTCTAAGTAGCAAAATGTTCTTGTAATAGGATAGTATTAATCAATATCTCTCCATAATGGTAAATACGTGTACTTCTAAATGTCTGTGTTGTGTTTAAATTGAAACTTGAGTTAGTTACTAATCAAAATATAAGTAACACTTGCGAGTGAATAATGATGTACAGTGTTGGGCAAATGGGTAGGCTCTGCGAAGAATCACGACCTCACAGAAGACAGACTTGAAGTGGAAGATACTCAAATAATGAGATAGCCTGAGGGAACTCTATTAAAGGTTGGCAAGGCAATCCCTGGCCGTGAAAGCTCAGTGGCCGGGCGCTCGCCTTTAATTCAATTTACTCGATCAACCTGAGTCCGAGACCCGGTGCCGCCACTAAAGTGGTCCTTTTTCCAGTGGGTTTCATTCTGGATCAAGCCTGACGCAGCGCCAGCCCGTGTCACGCTCGGAGTGACGTCATTGCTGACTCTCTCCACGCAGCACGCGAAGTCGCAAGCTCAGCTGCCTCCCGTCTCTTACCTAAAGGCGGTAGACGCTTTCATGTCTGTCTGCACCGTGTGAGTCACTTAATCATGTCCTTCTTATGCTGCAAATCAGATTGCATTCACTTTATATGTGTTACTCTAATTAACTGCTGGCAGTAATTAGTGATCACATTCAACGGTTATTACTATTTTTGTCAATGATATTCACATGTCTGTGATAAATTACCTTAATTATGATACACGTTAAATATTTGTCCCAAAAAATTGTTCTGTAACAGGATATCAATCATTTTGCAATGTTTGTATTTCTTTGGTTGGTGTGATGATTGAAAGACAAAAATGTTTTATTTAAATTACGATACATGCCTTCTAATGCCAATTACAATACAATCTATATTTGAAATGTAATGCGAAGTTATGTGAATAATTGAATCAACAAAATTATCTTCCACCTTCCAACTTTAGCTGACACTTCGACGCTTCTTCACTTTCAGATTCGTGTTCATGGCGCTTATGGAGTACTGTCTTGTGAATATTATTCTCGATGACGGTGGAAGGAAGCCCAAGGTATCAAGTAATCCATATTCATATCTTAACCGTCACTTAATGATGTATGTTGACGAACTTACTACCTACTTTATATCACTACATAGTATAAAACAAAGACGTCCCGCTGTCTGACTGTCCCTATGTATGCTTAGATTTTTTTTTTAGTGTGAAAAGTTGCCAAGCGAGCAGGCGGTTCACCTGATGTTACGTGAATACCGCCGCCCATGAACATCTGCTACACACGAGGGTTACAGATGCGTTGACAACCTTTTGAAAATTGGACTCCGGCCACCTCACTCACCAGACGAAACGCGAAAGTACTATACTTCCACTTGACGCCGGTCTTCTGTGAGGTCGTGGTACTTTCCCGGACTAGCCTGCCCATTCGTGCAACAGCCGAGGCTACTGCGTGGCCCTACCACAGTAAAAGATCTTTAAAACTGCGCAATGGATCTGAATACTGAATGCGATTCAGGAGAAAGTAGAGTATATTTAGTATCAGCATTGCACCCGTGCGAAGCCAGCGAGGGTCGCTTGCATTGAATAAAACAATTGTCTTACTGATGTAAAGACTGAAGTAAAAGGATAATAGTTCTTTTTACATAAGAAGGTATTTTAAAAAAGGCAGTTGCTTCTTTTAAAATACATTAATCTCCTACCTTACCTCTTTTAAAATTTACCTCATTAAACAGATGAAAAGCAAAAGTATGATAGTTTAACAATAATTTCCTACAATAATTTAGGGTCTGTGGTATTTCGTGACACTTCCCTGGATGAGCTTACTCATCTGTGCACCGGCAGAATTGGATTCATCGCCCTACCACAGTATATATAGATCTACGTCACGCTGATGCCGTTCAGGAACGCCACACAGCTTCATAATTTCTTATATGCCCATTAAATTGCGAACAAATTGTTTCCCTTTTGGCACCGGTCTGGCCTGTTGGTAAAGCTATGCTCCCCGAACGAAATACTTTCTACTTCGAAATACTTTTCCAACACAGAACAACAACTTTGCCAAAGCTGTCTTGCAATAACATCTGTAACCCTTCCAGGAGCCAGCCGACGCGGCTAAAGCTAGACTGAGGGCGTTAAGCATCGACCGCTTCTCCCGCGTCTTCTTCCCTCTCCTGTTCTCCGTGCTCAACGCCACTTACTGGATCCAGTTCGCGCAGTACATCTGACTGCTAGGCGAAGTCTTGTACATACTCATAAGCAATCTGATCAGCAACTAACCTCTGAGAAACGTTGCCATATATGATGTATCACATTTGAATTACAAACCAATATAGTCTTGCAAGTTGGGGGAGTCAATAATCGGAAATTCCACTATACTATCGTTGAACGTGACGTACCGAACGAAGCAGCTATTGCAGACTGTTAAAATATAATCTTCTTCGCAATAACCGTTCGTACGAGTTACTAAAGAAATAAGAGCTACTATTGCGAGAAAAGAATTGAACTAAGTGATGCATTCGACTACAATTTACCCACAAATATAGATTCAGAATTTGCCCATAACGAGTAATCTTTTTACTTTTACCCTATTTGTAATTGGAGATCAAGTGCGGTATATGAGGAAAACAGATTAAGAGGTAATGAGACAGGCGGAAAATGTATAAAAACTATAGGAGAGAAAAGACATTTCTTCTACTATCATTTCTTCTTTATTTCAAAGAAATAGTAAGAGATCTATTTCTGGATAGAAATCAGCTAGTAAATTAATAGTCAGGCAATTCTTTTACATCTCCTATTCTCTTATTTGAAAATGGTCGTCAAGTTAATGTATTAACTAATTGTCTGTAAGAGATACTATAACTTTTTTTCCCTAAAAATGAATACCATCCTTGTGAAAAAATTAAAGATTTGTTCTAAGCAGGTTAAGGAAACGTATTAAATTATGAGTGAAAAGTTAAAAAGGAAAAGAATTTGGCACATCTTAGCTTAGTATAACACATTGATTTTATTCGAACCCCAATCACAGAATTATTTAGTGATAACAGAAGTGTGAGTACAGTTCCTTAAAAAAAATCTTAATCGAAGTTAACTGAAACCATTTAGGTGTAGAAATCGTAAACCCATTCCTCGAAATTCAAGACGTAAGACTAGTTGACAACCAATTAAACCTTTGATGGTATATAGATTTTAAATAGTTAAACTATGTCCAATTATTCACCGTATTTAGAGGTTGACTAGTGATGTAAATGAAAGTGTACTTAAAAAGTATGGCACGTGAAATCTTAAAGTAGACATCTTCAGTTTAATTAAATATGTTGTGATATTAAATAATTATATTAATGATGAAGTCATTAATAGAATACACAATTTTTAAAATGTTCCAAGAACAGTGTTGCCGTTTTAGTTTGGCATTCTACTGTTTGCATATGCACATATGTTGCCAGTTCTGAGTTCACAGAAAGTAAATAAAAATGTAATGATAATATAAATTGTAAAGAAGTGTGAATGCTATTGAAGTATAAAGATCAATATTCCCAATATTGATATATATATGAATAAGAAGGCAGAGATTAACAAATCACAGTAATACCAATGAACAATTTGGAACATTTTAAAAATAGGCATGCTGACATAGGAATTTATAGGAAAATTTTAGCGGTGTACATTGTCTAGTTGGTAAACGAAGAGCTGATGTCAATGCAGAGGCAACTATAAGAAATCAATTCAAAATTCCGCACCACAGCTCTAAGCTGTCCCCATTAATTGTGCAATACTCAACGCACCAATTAGTTTTATTTAGTCAATAGAAAATGTTCACCGCATCCCCTAATGTGATTTATCAGTTCCAAGAAACAGTATATGAATTAATTAGTGTGTTGTAAACTATATCAAAGTATATGTCATTGCGTACAGATTGTTTTGTGATTAAGAGAATATAATGATTTGTTTTCAAATAGTGTTTCATTTAGTCGATGTTAGTTTTAATTTTATCATATTAATAATTTAATAACATTAGTCGAAATGGAGGATTGAAAATTAGTTCTCTCATAAGAGGCTTTGAAAGAAATGTAAAGATGTAAAGAAAGAAATATTACTATTTGATTTATAACGGCAGTCTCAAACAAGCATTCATCTATCAGCTAATCTGGATTTAGTTTACTTTATACATTGGGCCCACATGCCTCACTCTTAGGCTTATAATATCAGGGCTTACCAATTCAACCTATGCGCCCATTTGAAGCAAATAAAAAAAAATTAAACGAGATTGGATCAAAAAGCGTTATTCTTTGTTATGTTCTGTTTTCGTAAATTGGAAACGATGCCCTGGTGCCTTGATGCCTTTGATAAGTAATCAAACACCAGCTTGCAGCTAGTGATGTCGATTCATATCAAATCAAATAAAAATATATTTATTCACATAGACACTTGCGCGTTCTTATGAAACGTCAAAATTTTACATAAAAATTAATACGTAAATAAGTTACCACCGGTTCGAAAAGCAGTTTCTGTTGAGAAGAAACCGGCAAGAAACTCAACAGCTGCTCATTTTTAAAACGATTATTTTACAATATAATAGAACAAGTATGTTATTTTAGCCTACGTGAGTATCAACAGTATTAACCCCACACCTTGGCGTCGTCAAGATATTCTGCAATGGTATAATAATATGCCTTAGCCATAAGTTCGCTTTTAATTTGCGTTTAAATTGATCAAGTGGCAGACTTAATATAGACTGTGGGATTTTATTATACACTTGGCCCCATGAACGATCTATTTAATTTTTGTAGACGAAACAATGGCGTAATTAATTTGCCCTTATTTCTAGTATTTAATTTATGTCTGTCACTATTCTTTAGGTAACAATTAAGATTATGTCTAACATACAAAATATTACAATAAATATATTGGGACGCAACATTGAGTATATTAATCTCTTTAAAACATTTCTGAGTTTATTCCGGGCCCCGATGTTATAGATTGCTCGGACAGCTCTTTTTTAAAGAATAAATACCCGGATGTAGTGTAACTGTGAGTTACACAACTCTTATTTAAGGTAATCCATAACACATGACTATCTTATCAATGAGTGGTGACAATATTTGAAATAAAAAAAGATAAAAAGAAAATACGAAAACGCGGTGAGGTTTGCAAACTCGCTTTATAGTTCCCATTTCCCAACAAATGTGACACGTGCATTTGGAAATATCTAAAATGGCTGCTCTCAACCAGATATACAACATCCGACAATTCGTACTTACCGAATTACCTTTTTCAATATCCCAAACATTATGATATGATTCATTATCAAATATAGTGTAAGTACATTTCCTACATCCACAGATTATAAAAATAAAACACATCTAAAATTAAGCATAGATAGCGAAGAGATTAGGAAATTGAGGCAATTAATCTAATCTGGTTTGTTTTGATATATACCTTCTAGTTCCTGTTATGATATGCAGATTTCTAATTAGTAATTATGGTTGTTGCAAGGAAAGCAAAGGAAAAGGTGGAAAGGGACTTTCAATAAGGGATGACGTAATCATGTATTTAGACCCAAGATAGGAAGCTATTAATAGTTTCTAAACTCTTCTTATAAGAGTAAGAGAGAAATGAGGTGACGTTTCTCTGATTGCTACTTACGATTTAATATGAGACATCCATAATTTTTTTGTTGAGAAAGTGGCAAACGCGCGGTGTCCTTGTATTATAGGTGACATTCACTAACAACTTAGTGTAAACGGTTTCAAACATTTTGTAAAAGCTATCCCAATGGCTTCCAATCCACGCCGGTCCTTGAGGTCGAGGTACTTACCAGAACGGACCTGACCATTCGTGCAACAGCGAAGACTGCTGCGTGGCCCTACCACCGTTAAAGCAAGTTGTTGACTAGATAACGTTATGTAAAATCATGTGCGGAAATATTTATTTTGTACATGACGTAATTCTGACGTAATTATTGCGCGCTTGCCTGCAGGGCTTCAATTACTGTTTTACAGAGAAAGTGTATTTACTATCGACGGCTTACTATATTGCCTGCCTCTTACCACCAAAGAAGGAAATCAACCACTAACGCGCGGTTTCTGAAACACTGACCGGTTTCTGAAACACTGATCATCGTAGATGTCAACTAATCAGCCGTCAAATGGCTTTTCAAATTTCATTTTAGTTGCCAAAAGGTCGGTTAAACTCTCTGAATTGACCAGAATGATCTTCTAATGATCAGAACGATGAATCCAAAGAGTTTAATCATCCTTTAGGAAACTAAAATTAAATTTGAAAGCCATTTGACAGCTGATTAGTAGACATCTACGATGATCAGTGTTTCAGAAACCGGCCGTGATTATCGTATAGGTTAATTAGCCAGCTGTCAAATGGCTCTTCAAACGTCCTTTGAGTACTTAACAGGATGGTGAAACTCTCTGAATTGATCAGAATGATCAGAATGATCAATTCAAATGGTGTAACCATCCTTTTGGCAACTCAAATGACATTCGAAAAGCCATTTGACAACTGTTCAATTAACTTCTTCGATGATCAGTGTTCCAGAAACCGGGCGTAAGTAGTTCGCGATGAAATAAATATACAGTAATTAAAATATAACACATCTTCGGCTCTAAGCAGATAAATAGATGGAACTGCGAGCGGCTCTAACAATATATTTTCGACGATTAAAAATAACCTTGCCGTTAAAACATTCTCTGGTCCGAATTCTTTTTTACCGCACAACAAATACAATTAAACGTTTTTTTCTGTTTTCGTACCAACCAATTATAGCAATGTAAAAGTCTGCATTTTTTTTAAACCGTTACTTCTTAGAGCAGTTCAACGGAACAATTAGAGTTCAAACATTTCGCAAGCAGTAAGACGTGTATTAGAGAGGTACTATCAAATAGATTGGTTTATATTACGTGGCGATTTATTTGACATAACATCTGAAATTACAAAATCAAATTTTTTTATTCAACATGAAGCAGTACACTCACTTATTGATTGTACAAATACTACTACCAGAATGAGCTGAAGTAGGGTGATAACAGTCCCGTCAAATATATGGTAAACATTTTTTGTGTAACCCCCTACCGTAGAATTTATCATGCGAAATATTTGCATGCTTACGTGGTCAATCACCGAATGTTAAACATCGTAAGGAAACTTGCATATTTTCGAAATAATAACAAAAAATTTATATTTCTAAAATATGTGAAGTCCGTCAATACGC